TCAAGTGATCACACAATTGGTTGGTTGGTTGATTAAGCTAAATTGAATTTAACTAAATAAAATAATATGAGGTAAACAAGAGAGAGAGAGGTCTTGGGGTGTAGAGATCACCACCAAGCAATACTTTTCTATACTACTAACAAGTGATCAATTGAGGGTAATGGATGTGTTGCAATATGATAAGGGTGTGTGTGCATTAGGTTGATTCAATTGGCAAGGATGACAAATCAAGCAAGTATTGTCTAAACATCATGTGAAGAGCACAATATATCTAAGCAATAGAGCATATATTGTCTAGACAACATGGGGATAGCATAATAGATCAAAACAAGTCATTAATCATTCATTAAGCTCACAATCCACATGCAACACAATATTAGAGGAATATGTCATTTGGACTCACAAGCATGGAACATCAAACATCAAGAGTAGATTGTCCTCCCATCTAACATTATACTACCACTACACTAAATCTACACTACTAGAATTAAAATAAAGCTATCTAGACTAGGAGAGAGGCACAAACCATCAAGAATAGGCATAAACCATCAAATGAACCAAAATAGCATTCATTAAGCATATCATCTTGATAATCTCTAGATCTATAGCATCAATACACATAGACATGCATCAAAAACACTAAATCTAGAGATAAGCACATGAATATCCTACTTTAGCATACATAGACATATAGGTAGCATAGAATAGTCAATTGGAAGCATTAAACCATACAAACCATGAAATAATCAAGATTTATATATACATGAATATCAAGATGTATCATACAACACTAATCCCTCAATAATACACAAGATTAGAGTATAGAAAGCATGCTTGGGGCTAACTCTAGCCCCAAGAAGATGTCTAGCCACTCATGGTAGTGATGATCCAACCCTCAAGGGCTAACTCCATGGCTGCTCCTTGTAGATGAAGATCTCCTCCAATGGTTGCTCTAGCTTCCTCCCTTCTTCCTCTCCAAGAATAGCCTCCAAGATGATTTTCAATGTGTGACAAGAGACTCTAGACTCATCTCTAAAAAGTGTATCATATTCCTTATATAGGTAGGTCAAATACACCCTATGATGAGCTGTGGTCGTGCAAGGCATATTCTCCAATGATTGGGTGAAGGACGGAATAAATGAGCTGGACTTTAACTTTTTCTCGCTGGAGGAAGTTCGATCGATCGAACTGCATCTTGGATCGATCGAAGTGGTCTGACTCCTCCGAATAAGGACAAGGCTGAGATATTTCGAAGATATTTATGGGGAAAAGAACAAAAGTGGTTGGTAGGCGTACAGCTGTGGATAAGATCAATCATTTGAATAGGACAAAATAGGGTTCGATCGATCGAAGGTGATATTGGATCGATCGAACTTGGAATTTCAGCAAAGGCCAAGGTTGGATCTATCGAGAAGTACTGTGATCGATCATAGATGTTCGATCGATCGAACTCTAAGTTGGATCGATCGAACTTTTCAGCTGCACAACTTTGATTCCTTTTTGCTCCTTTCTTTCTCCACTTTGCTCCTTCCTTTGGTTTATCTCAGGATTGCTTCAATTAAGCTCTTATTTGGCTGAGTTAGCTCAATTTTGGGATTAGTGCCTGAAAATATAAATAACACGTAATAAGTCTAAAACGGCAAAGTAAGATAGATAAAGGTACTAGAATGCTTAAGCTTAACGGGTTTAAATGCGCATTTTTCAGTGCTCATCAAGTTTTTACGTTCGCCGGCTTTGCAGGATTGGTTTTCACCAAGTCTTGCCGATGTTTGGGTGACGCGATTGCCTGGACTTGCTACGTATCACAGGGCTCGCCAATGTACTTTCATCACTTGATTTAGCCTTCGTGCCACTTTTCGTGGTGACTTTGGCGTTGACCTTTGCAGTAACGATGTTCTTTTGGGATTTCTTGTCTGTCTGAGTCTTAGGGGGAACCATAGAATCTGACAGAGAAGAATGGTAGGAGAAAGAGATGAGAGGCAAAGGAGGTCCCACTGGGCGTGCCAGAAATTTATACACACAAATTTTGTCTATCTGCAAATAAAAACAAAATAGGGAGCAAAAATAATATTTTATTAAATTGAAAAAATTGGAGTACAATCCTCTGTAATATTCTTTACAAAGAATAAGGTCCTCTGATTCGAACTCCTTTTTGTTGGTTGGATCCAAGGGTTGCATGAGCTTGATCTTGAATCACCGTAGAATTTAGATGAAGAACGGCACGATTTGATGTGCTTGATGTTGATCACCGTAAAATTTGATGAAGAACGGCACAATTTAATGTGCTTGGTGTTCTTCGCTTTTGGGTTTGGATGTTGGGGATGAGTAGTGGTAGAGTCTCTATATTTCTCTCTGGGATTTCTGACTCTCTGGATTTCTGAGTCTCTCAATTTCTAGACCCTCTAGATTTCTGAGTCTCTGAATTTTTGGACCTCCTTCCACCTTTCTCCATGCCTCTATTTATAGGCTTCTTGGATTAATAGGATGATGGCATGTGTCCTCTCCTGATAAGGACAAAATTATAACTGGGCCGGGTCAGCTATATTATGATGATTATCTATAAAATAATTATTCCAAATATATTTTATTAGAAATAATTATCTTCTTATTTAATCATCTGGGCTGGGCTAATTAATAATTTAAGTAGACTAAGTTTGGGTCAATTAAATATTAAACCTATATTTGATGGGTCAATTTGTCAAAACCAAAGTTCATAAAATTTTTAGTGTCTACGCACTCTTAATCAAAGCTCTCTATATTAATGGAGAAATATAAATAAATGAGAAACTTTGATCGGAAATAATACAGATGTGTCAAAATTTAAGTCATATAAAGCGGGAGTGAATTCGAGAGCTTGAGCGTGAGAGTGGTAAAATTAAGTCATAAACAGTAAGAATTTGAGCGAATGCGCGCATGCGTAATGTAAGAGCGGCAAAATTAAATCATAAGCTGTGAGAATTCGAGTAAGAGCGCACGCGGAGCATAAAAGTGACACCAGTTAAGAAAAATTGTGTAACTTAGTTCAAAATACCTCGTAATATAAGAAAATAAAGGACTTGGAAGAATATGATTTTTTTTTTTTTTATGTTTGATATAACATTTTGGAAGAAAAAAGGAGAATGGAAGTTGAGACATTTACTTATAAATTATGTGTCATCTTCTTATTGGTTGGGATCACATGGTCCCGGACCATGTAATTCTTTCTTGTAAATTCCCCGTTTTGAATGCCAAATGGTAGAACAGCCTTCATTTACACAAGAATCTGAGAGTTCCCTACCCCTCCAATACTAACATTCTCTGTTCTTTGAAATACTTTTCGCTGCATTTGAATTGTAATCTTTCTTTAATATTCCCAAAAACACAGTTTCTTCGAAGTTTCAGTTCTTTATTATAGAAAAAGGCAATTCTGTATTGATATAACTCCATACTTGTTTGAGTTTGGCTTTGGCTTGAGTTATGTTTTAACCACAAATTGATTGATATTCTTTTTAACAAAGTGTAGGAAGATTACAGTCCAGATATAATCCTACTTCTGACTGAAATTTTGTCATAGAACACTAAATATAATACAGATTTTGGACCAATTATCGTCTAACTTTTTATCAAAGAACTACCTTCAACTATCTAGAGGGGGTAAAAAAGTTGATAATTAAACCAAAATTCCTTTTTATTTAAATATTAATTCTCACAAATTTCAAAAATTCATATCTCACAAACCGTACATTTAAAAATTATAAATAATATATGTACGGAAAGCTTATAAAATAAGGATTCCAGAAATATAAAATTTATACAACAAACCTTCATAAGCAGAGAAAAATAAGAAATCTAAAAATCTACTCCAACAATCTTATTTTATTTTTAATAAATAAAATATTCAAGATATTTGCAAGAAAATTTGCAGAATTATTCATTTATATATGGAGCCGAATATATAAAAAATTTAACCCCAACAGAGATCAATTTCATAAGATATCATATTTTACGTCAAAATATTTTTATTCTTTTATAGACTCGCCATTTAAAAAAATATAAAAATGAATACGGTCTCTATTGGGGCTAATTTTTTTATATGTTATGCTCCATATATGAAAGTGAATAATTTTGAAAATTTTCTTTCAAATAACCTAAGTATTTTATAAAAAATAAAATAAAATAAAATTATTACAGTAAATTTTTAGATTGTCTATTTCTCTCTTGTTATGAAGTTTTGTTAAACAAATCTTGTATTTCTGGAATCTTTGTTTTATAAGCTTTTCGTGCATATATTACTTGCAATATTTGGATGTACGGTTTGTGAGATATGAATTTTTGAAATTCAAAAAATTAAGATTTAAATAAAAATGTATTTTGGTCCAAATATCAACTCTTTTACACTATTTAAATAGTTGAGGGGGGTTATAAGTTTTCCGTGCATATATTACTTGCAATATTTGGATGTACGGTTTGTGATATATGAATTTTTAAAATTCGAAAAAATTAAAATTTAAATAAAAAGGCATTTTAGTCCAAATATCAACTCTTATACACCATTTAAATAGTTGAGGTGGGTTATTTGGTATAAAATTAGACAAGGAAGATTTATTAAAAAGGGTTACAAGTTGAAAGAAGTTTTCTGTACTTTGCCATATATATATATATATATATATATATATGTGTGTGTGTGTGTGTGTTTAGCACATGTATCTGTAAAGTTGATGGTCACTGATTAATATATATGTATGCATGTATATATATATATATATATATATATATGTTTAGCATATGTATGTGTATGATTGATTAAAGTTGATGGTCACTGATTAATCCTTGCTTCCCTGATTCCGATTTATTCACCAAACAATTGTCACCTCCTACCAAGTCAACTACACGTGCATGATAGTGACATATATGAATTAAGAGTTAGGTTCTACGACGGTGTTGGGACCAGGGTTTGAGGAAGAGATCACATCTTTAGCCACTGTTGGCCAAAGATGACACAAAATTTGTTTCCTAGAAGATTAAATTCCCAGAACTGTAAATTTCCTTTTTTCTTTTTTTTTTTTCCTACCGAAACAGGCATCTCCCCCACATAAATCAGGTAAAACTCAAACTATGCCCGTGAATGTGGCCTCTAAGAAATTATTTTCACGTAGAAGAAATCGATCCTGAGACCTAATCCTTCATGAGGTACCAGGACGAAGTGTTTTTCAACAAGGCCGACTCCTTGGGTTCGGAACTATAATTACCTTGATTAGTATAACTAAATCTAAGTCCGTGAAAAAGAAAATGAATTTGCAGGCAACCAAACAAACCTGTAGTCAAATCTATTAGTATTGTTCACCAGTGACGGATTCCATTTCCTGAGCAATTTGCTTGTACCTAGTGCTGGCTTTTCCTTGATAAACATGCACATTTCCAGGAGACACGGCAAAACTACTCTAATGAACATACTTAAAAAAAAAAAAAAATTTTAAATGACCCTAATGAATATTCATATAGGGACTTTACATTCAGAAAACCACAAAGATAACTAGTAAAGTTTCGCAACCTTTTCATACATCAATGGCCATATCAAAATTTCAAATGTGAGGTTCGAGGCCAAGAATGTGCATTACAGTTTCAAATATGCCAATAACAGTTGTTCCCGACAAAATTTCTGCATCAAAATTTGTTTGTAAAGCAATTTTCAATACAGTGAGTATCTGTGCAACTGTGATTAGATAATGTAAAACTCAACAAAAAGGGAGAATACATAATAGTAGGTTACATCTGTTCCAACGATATGGTATTAATTAGTCTAGCCTTACATAAAGAGTAAGAATCGCCAATGCAGGTTCTCTAAATGAGCCTAGTCCCTACTATTGTAATATCAGCAAACCATACTCGACAAACAAGAGAAAGGAATTGCTAAATTCGAGTGAGCTGTCCTAAACTCCAGCGGACTTTTTCCATCAACTTTATTCTCACTCGACTAGTGCTCATTGCAAGAATGGGATGGAGAAGGAACTTGCAAGGGTTGAACCGAGCACATCATCACAGAGGCCACCACCCTCATTGGCCTTCTTGTCAGCTGTAAGGCTACTAGCTGAACTGCTATTTGAAAGTGAAATGAAAGTCGTCTTCTGTAGGACACCTATCGGCGAAGATCCCAATTGAGGGCCGCTATCCCACACTCCAGTCATGAGGTTCAGAGTCGACGAACTCTTGCAGGCTTCCCCAGTGCTAGAGCTGTTGTTCAAGACCTCTCCTAATGGACCTCCCACTGAACTTCCCCAAGCTATTGGTATAAAATTTATTTCCTTTTCGGTTGGTTTGCCGAGATCATTACCCACCCCCAAGCCCATTTGGATTTGATCATACTCACAAGATAGCCTAAGTGGCGAGAGGGCTAGTTTCTCTTGTGAGGACGATGATGTTGTTGATGAGAAATTGGAGGTGATCATTGGAATTGACATTGAGAGCTGAGTCCAGTCCGACTTCAATTTTTCTGGCCAAGCAATGGTGGAGCAACTGTATTGATCCTTAGACTGGTCATCAACAATTTGGCGAAGTGGATGTTTGTCATTGAAATCCAAGAAAGAATTATGGCTTCCTTGAGAAGGATTGAGAAGAGAATCAGAGGAGACAAGTCCAAACTCTGATTGGGAGGATTTGTCCAGAGGGACACGTTTGGGAAGGGAGAAAGGGGAGTCATTAGACTTCAGGTTGATGGTTGGAGATATCACGGAGAGGTCTTGGGGATCTTGCGTTCTGTCACACACATTTTATTGTTTTAGAAAAAAAGGCATAAAAAGTAAAAAGACTTGAAAGAAAAGAGGATAAATAAAAAATAATAAATAAAAAAAAAAAAAAGCAATGCGAGGAAGTTAAAAGTTGCAAGCCTCAAATGAGAGATATGCAGAAGCTCTATACTGTCAACAAAAATGCCTTAATCCATAGAAATCCAACACGGGACTCATAATGAAGTCCTCCTAGAGAAGGAATCTCAAGTTTCAATTACTAAGACTAGTCACTTTCACCAAAAGTAAAGATGAATTAATGGGGTGTACTTTAAAGTAAAGAAAAAGGAATAAAGAGTAAGAAGTAAGCACACTGTTTCAAATAATGAGAAGCAAAGAGAAAAAGGAAGCTCAAATCCAAAAAGTTAATTCCTTACCGATTGACAAGAGGGTCTGTAGTATGATTGGCATCACCAGGCTGCAAGCTCTTGAACTGGTGCTGCGTGCCATTGAGGCTGTTGGATGCACCGCCACTGGACATTACCGATGCAGGCATAGAAGAAGCAATCGGTGCCACCTTTGGAATAGTGGATCCAGAGACGGCATGGCCAGTCTGGCCTTCCACATGCTTTCTTGAACGGTGACGGCCCCTGTTAATGTGTCTTTCACAGTATTTCTGATCTGGAACTGCATCTCTTGAGCACCGCCATTTCTTCCCATCAGTACGACGACACCTCCCCAACTCAGGATCAGTGCTGCCGGAGAAACCTATATGGAAAGAGCCCCATCCAACTACATACACCAGAAAGGAGGGAAACACACACACACACACAAACACAAAAAAACCAAACAATAAAGACAATTCAGCTAAATGGGGTGAAAAAGAAGATAACTGACAACAAACATAGTGTCTTGTACTTAAATCCGAGCACGTCTTGGTCTAGGATTAAACCTTTCTACCAAGAATATATTATTTAACTTTTAGATCGAAAACTAGGGAACTTAATGAGAGAAGAAGTAACTCCTTAAGAGATAAAATGAAATAAAATTAATAGGAAAATAAGATTGTATACTGTATACACATTGACTACTAAAATTTGAGTAACAGATTAGAGATTAGAAAAGGAAAACTAAATTTGTGCAGTAATGCAAACATTGGTACTAAAGTTGCATAACAAATCAGAGATACTAGTTGCCTGAATCGAATTCACAGAAGCTCATTTTCAAAAACAACTATGCAAATGCGAATCAAAAACAAAAGGAACACAAACAGTTAACTAGTTAAGCAGCTATGAAAAGAAAAATCAACTTATTTTTGGTGTTCGATTTCTGAAAAGAGAGCAAGCTTACATGAATTGGGGGCATAGGATCCGGACAACAAACCCGATAATCCATATGGGTTGAGACATGTCTTGAGGGCAAAGAGTAAATTGGATGGAACAGGCACATTTGCCATCATGTACTTGTAGATCAAGGCCTGGTGTTCCAACTCAATCCACTGAGATGGAGTAAATGGCCCTCTAATCCCAGGTATGGACTCATTGAAACCTCCAAAACCATATCCTGAAACAGGGGAAAAGAAGAAATCAAGTGAAATTTACAAACAGCACAAAAGAAAATAAAACAATGTGACCAATTAATGAGGTAATGTGAAACAGGGGAACCAAATTTCAGAAGTAACTCCAACAGCTAAAAAAATAGTAGTATCTGAATATTAAAGAGCAGAGTCAGAGCTCATATGCCATCAACATTTAAGGAAGTTACACACATCATAAAATAATAAAAAATAAAAATAATAATAATTTGACAGTGGAAAAGATGGAAAGGAATGAAAAGTTGAAACCAATCAGAAGTCTCTTACTTCTGCAAATCCTATTCCTCCTCCTTTGATGCCCCCCTTTTGTCCCTTTTTGTTCATATAAATCTGGTGTGACTAAAATTTACCCAAATCATAACAGAAAGACCATGTCTTTTTTAAAGAAATTTTATATAAAAATAAAATAAAATAAAAACCCAACAGCAACAATTTTTCATGGCAAGACTCAAAACTAAAATTTATACTAGATGCCCATGAAAAGACCCATCAGTCAGTACAAGGAAATAGTCTATGCAAAAATATTAATAATCCATCATCTGTTGCAAGTTAATGTCACCAAAATCTAAATCTTTCCACCATTACCCATCTGAAAAAATCACCATCCCAACAAAACCCACATACCAATTTGACCGAAAAAAACATCTTTACAACACAAAATCACAATCCCAACAAAACTCACATACCAATTTGACCAAAAAAAATTTATTTTTACAATAAATTCAAGAAAACCCTATTTCCTTATACCTGCATTTCTAGTGAAAACATAAGGGGTGTGTTGATAGAAAGGAATGGATGGGTTTTGAGTGGTCTTCCCAACTAATCCACCATTTTTACTGAGGAAGGTTACTTCTGATTTGGGTGAAGAGAAGCTGAGCATGTTGTTGTGTTGACCAACATCACCACCAGAGAGCAGAGAATTAGATCTCAGTAGAGAAGTTCCAAACATTGTTTTGGAGGCATCAAGGCCATCAGTTCTGGACATTTTGGAGCTCTTCCACTCTTCTTCACCAGATTCAGATCTCCCTTGTTTGAGAAACCCAGATCCATAGCTCTTTGACTTGGTGGCCTCAGGCTCAGAAACAGCCTGAGAAAATACTCCACTCTCTGGACAAGTCAAACCCTCCAAATTCACCACTCCAAAGTCCATCCAGCAATGCCCACAGATTTACAAAACCTCCATAAAGCATGAGTTCATAGGAAGTTACACCCTGTAGAGAGAGAGGGGAAGTGAGATAGGAGCAGCTTAAAGACAAGTGAGAACTGAGAAGGGAAATAAAATATTGAACATGATATACCATTTTTTAATTTTTTCCACCATTTATATACTCTATGAAATATTTAAAGTGTGATGAACTCAACTATGCAATTTTAGTCTAGGTCATAATAGAGTTTAGAATCCTCAATCAGGATCTCTCCTTTACAGTTTTTGTATTGTATTTTTCCTTAGACCACAATAATACAAGAATGTAATACTCTTGTATCACATTTATTTCTAAATGAAGCACCTCTATAATAATACTCAGAGATTATTATAAATAAATGGTGTTAATGATCCATATTTACTATTTCTTTCGTCCCATAATAGTAATCTATTTTTCTCTTTTTACATGTCCCAAATTAGTTGTTTTATTTGAAAAGTCAAAAGCATTTTTTCTTTATATTTTCATCATTATCTTTTATTTTTTAAAAAAATTTCAAACTTTGTAACTATATATATTTCAATCAAAAAAAGAAAATTTGTAAATTTTAAAAGGGGACAATACATTAATTACATGTCCCCTTAAAAACTCCAATTTTTAAATATGGACATCTATTGTGGGACGGAGGTAGTATATAATAGAATTAAAGTCTCATAATTTCGAAAAAAAAAAGTTGACCAAAATACTGATGTGAACATGAAAAAACACTGTTTACCTTGAATGAGGTACCACATTTAAGCACATATGTATTACTTTTTGTGCACGGAGAATCAGAGATATCACTTTGTTGTGTATCAGGTACCATTTTTATTCACATGGGTATCACTTTTTGTACATATAAGTACCACTTTTTGTGTATCAAGTACCACTTTTTTTGTGCAAAATAAAAAGTGGTATCTAATGACAAAAGGTGTTACGTGCATGCACAAAAAGTGATACTTATATACCTAAAAGTTGCATCCCATTGGGAATAAACAGTGCTTTTCCATGTATTCATTTTTTTGAAACTACGAGACTTTGACTCCACCAAATGATAAATATGGGTCATTAGCACCATTTATTTATAATATTTCCATATATTTACACAAAATATACATATATTATCAAAATGCAACAATGACTTCACTTCTAGAACCCACAACACTTGTATGTCCATTAAATTTGCATTCTCAATTTAATTTAATCGTGTATCAAATGTTGTTTTAATCGTGTATCAAATATTGCATCTTTGATTTAATTGTATCATTGATTATGAGAGACCTCTAACAATATAATTTAATGGATATATTAGAATTTGTTGACTTGAATTCAATTTATATTCATTGAATCATAAAACAAGCTTGAGAATTTAGGGAATTTTTATTTATTTATTATTATTTTAAACAAAGAATTAACTCAATGCTAGTTATTTTGAAATTATAAATTTTAAATATATACAACCACCTTCAAATTACACACCTCATATAAACTCAAGTGTTTTTGTACGAGCCAAATTCAAAACATCTAAATTTATAATTCGCCCCAGTAGACTCAGGAACATGCTGCTTTGTTTGCTAACAAAAAATGAAAAAAATAAAAATAAAATTTGTTTAAGAAGAATTCAAGTAAGTAATATCTCACTTAAGTATTGTCTTATCTATTTATAAATAGGGCGCTTGAGTATTACTTTACCAAAATCTTGTTACTTGAATGAAAATGACCGAACAACACTTTGTTAGGATTGACAGAATGGAATGGAAAATATCTTGAAGGAAGGGGACAAGTCTAATGTATTTCTTTTTAAAAGGTAAAGCAAAAAGGAATGATTTCAAAAGAGAATTAAGGATTCTCGATTCAATAATTCATTGAAAGGTGAAGTACATTTGGTGCATTATAAAATAAAATATCACAATGATTGTAAATAAATAAAATAATTCATTGAAAGGTGAAGTACAATTTAGAAGCGTAGTGCTATTGTAAATAAAATAAAATAAAATAAAATATCACAATGATTAGTTAAAAAATAATAACTCATCTTGCATTATAGTGAAGTACAAAAATATTGTATTTTATTATTTTGTATCACAGTAAAAAATTTAAGAAATTCAACAAAATCTCAATTTATGTCTCAATTGACTAAAAACATACATGTTTTACTTTCTGTAATATTTATTTATTTTATTATTTTTATTTATTTATTTTATTATTTATTTATTTATTTATTTTTGCTCTCCTTCATTACACGTTCCCTGTGTCATTACATTATATGGGGGAAGAAATGAAAACCATTCATAATATTACATTTGGTGCAAAGGTCCAAGAAAAAATAAAATAATAAAAAATAAGAACAAAATCCAAAATATCACAGATTTATTATTATTATTATTATTATTATTATTACTTATGTTGGCAAAAAACAGTCACACATCTTTCATCTACCATTTATCTCATCCCCTCGTTGAAAATGGGGGGCTAGATGCCCTCTGGTAACTTGACTTGTGAAATAGTTGTTTAAGTTATCATTTAGGATAGAAGTGTTTAAAAAATTCTTGAACTATTACCTTTTGCAAGTAATCCCTTCAAATTATAAACTGCATATATGAACTATTGATACGATGCAATTAAGGCAAAGTCATTTCAAAAGATTAAATAAAAATATAATAAAAATAATTTAATAAAAAATGAAAAATTTAATGAGAAAGGATAAAATAATCGTTGGAATGAGTTTGTTCTTAATTGCATCGTATCAATAGTTTATATATGCAATTTATAATTCAAAGGGATTACTTGAAAAAAAAGGTAATAGTTGAAGAATTTTTTTAACACTTTTATCCTAAATGATAACTTAAACAACTATTTCACAAGCCAAGTTACCAGAGGGCATTTAGCCCCCGTATGAAAATATTAATTATATCATTTATCTTAATTTTATTATTAGAATTAATTTATCATAAAAATAAAAAATAAAAATAAAAATAGATTTGTAAGTACCATTTTTAAAAATGATTAACTTATTATTAAGATTTTACTATTTGTAATAAAATTTATTATACTCACTGTAACGACCCACTCCACCACATAGTATAATATTGTCCGATTTGGGCCTGACCTCGTACGGTTTTACTCTTACACTTTACCCCAAAAATGCCTCATACCAATTAGAGTGACACACTTACATATAAGTCTCTCTCCCAGGCGATGTGGGACTGTGTACCTGTAACTCGCCAGTGTGGTAGCTTGTCAGTGTCTCGCATCCACTTACGGCACACCCGCCCACAAGGTCATCACAATCCATCCTCCTTGGAGGCCCGACGTCCTCCTCAGCACACTTCTGGCAGGGTCAAATTTTGATATTATTTATAACGACCCACTCCACCACATAGTATGATATTGTCCACTTTGGGCCTGAGCCCGCACGGTCTTACTCTTGGACTTTACTCCAAAAGGCCTTATACTAATTGAAGTGACACACCTACGTATAAACACTTCACCTTTCCCTCTCCCAAACGATGTGGGACTGTGTACTCGTAACTCGCCAATGTGGTAACCTGTCAGTGTTTCGCACCCGCCCACAAGGTCAACACACTTACTTTGAACTTTTTTACCATAAAAAGTACTATATTTTTCATACAATGTATTCATGAAAAATTAATAAATTATTTGAAAAAATACATTCTTTTTTATGCAACATATTCATGAAAAATTTAGAAATTACTTAAATTGTTTTAAAATTTTATACTTAAGATTTTTATTTAAACAATTGATTTAAAAAATTAAATGTATAAAAATTAATGAAAAATATGTCATTAAATTAGTATGAATTATTTTTCATAATTGATTTCAATAAGAAAAATAGATTAATTGTAATTCAATAAGAAAGGGTATTATAGTAATTTAATAAAATATAGTTAAGGAATTGGGGCATTTTGTAACTAAATGTGATAGGTCAGGGGTTATATGCACAAAATATATTTCAAATAGGTTATTTGCATATTCCAACGTGGTTTAGTTTTTTTTTTTTTTTTGTTTTCGTTTTTGTTTTTGTTTTTTTTTTTTTTTTTTTTTTTTGGCACTTTATTATATTATTTAATTTTCAAATTAAATTAATATAGGTACAATAAGATACAAACTTGGTGATATGTTTCAAAAACCCTAATACACAAGTATGATATGGATACGTCAAAAAATATAATATAATATATATTTTTATATATATAAATAATATATATTTTTGTTATTTTATCCATATATAAATAAATTACTAATTTGAAATTTAAAGGTGAATGTTTGTTACTTTTAATTTTAATTTAAACTGTTGGTTCTAATTAACTCTTAATAAATTTTAGATTAAATTGAATTCCCTCTTCTTCTTCTTCTTCTTCTTCCTCTTCTTTTTTTTTTTTTTAATTCACCTTGGGTCTTATCTGTCCAAAACGGACCGTACCGTTTACAAGATTTACAAGGATCAAGCGTATAAAAAACAGTGGACTTAAATGATGATCATAGAATGCAACAGTGGTTCACAAATGATCACCAATCTTTTTCAGTTTCGTTTGGTCTCATGTACACACACTTTTGCGGTGAGTGATCAGTGATCAGTGATCAGTGATTACCCATATTTTCTCTCTCTAAATTGCATCGTCTCTCAATTAGAAGGTTTCACAGAATTGAACAGCAATGGCAATGATGATGATGGCTCCACGAACCCTAACTTTTCGTCAACCCCTCCCGCCATCTTCTCGGTCGTCTCGCCAGTTATATCCATCCAAATCTCTCCTTTCTTCCAACCCCATCACCAGCGTCCATCTCCCAAAATCAACTTCCCAGAATCAATCCCCTCTCGTAGCAAGAGCTTCTTCTACAGCTGCGTTTAGCGATGACATCAGTGATATCCTCGGTGATGTTAACATCTTCACCGCGACCGGTCAATCAGTCATGCTCAAGGATCTCTGGGATCAAAACGAGGTTTAGTATTGCTTGGCTATACTTCAATTTTGCATCAAAATTGGTGAAAAAAATTGTATGAAATGTTTTTAATGAATTTATCGAAATTAATCTATGCTTTTGTTCATTAGTGGTTGAATTATTGGTTCATGTGACTTGTAATACATGATTGCTTATGGTTTAGATAACATTATGAACCATCTAGAATGTTTGTGGTGAATATGAATATGTTTGGGGAAGACCGGATTGTTGATTGCTTATGGTTTAGATAACATTATGAACCATCTAGAGTGTTAGTGGTGAATATGAATATGTTTGGGGAAGACCGAATTGTTGGGATATTTCTGTTCTAATAATTGAATCATCCTGCAAATTAATTAATTTAATTTGCATACATGCCGAAACATAATTGCAAGACGATTCAACAAATTAGGAGAACATTTGTTGATGTGTGTCCTAAATGATTAACCTCGTGCTGCTTAGCAATCAAAGTTCTTGTAGTGATTACTGAAGTACTGAATGCAAAATGGGATTGTTTATTTTGGATCATGGCTCCGCATTGGTTCATATGGAACCCTAGATGCTGCAATTGGACAAATCATCTCATTACACTTTCCCTGTACATTAAAGTCATTTAGATCGTTATTTTGTTGTGGAGGATTAGAAAATGTTATTAAGTTCTGATTTATAATCGGAATTTGTGAACAATGAGGGTATGCAATTTGGATTCCTCATCCGTTGTCAACCTCCTCCTATTCTTTTTATCATTGGTGTGCGTTACGAAAGCTCATCTTTTGATATCCAGAAGTTCACCCCTAAAATACAGGAGAATGATGTAATTTAATGGTGTACTCTACTAAATCTAAGATTAGCTTCTTTTGTTCATGTTCTTTCAGGGAATGGCTGTTGTTGCACTTTTGAGGCATTTTGGATGCCCTTGCTGGTAGATAATCTAAACAGATGAACCTATTTGTTTATGAGAAAAATTATTTTAATTTTAAAAGCTAGTAATTTATTGTGCTTCCTTTGATTTGCACTTTGTAGTTGGGAACTCGCTTTAGCTCTCAAAGAATCGAAATCGAGGTTTGACTCAGCTGGTGTAAAGTTAATTGCTGTTGGTGTTGGTACTCCTAACAAAGCTCGTATTCTTGCTGAGCGGGTATTCTTTCTTCTTCTTTATTTGTTGCATTAATACTTTATAGATTGTGCATATTAACTATTCCAACGAAAGCCTTATTTAGTTATAACTAGGCCGTGCTGCATTATATATCCTTTGTAGTTTGGTTGATGAATATTTACTACTTATGACCAGTTGTTACTTGTTAGCCTGAATTGTATCTTCTGCTACTTTAAAATGTGAGTTGTGGGATTCAGGACATGGATTAAGATGCGGGTGGTTTGTATTGTACTTAACAAAAGAATATAAATAGTAAAATTTGTTGATGTCTTAGTAAATTTTATATTGATAAATAATAAAATTCTTCCAGATCATTCAATAAAGGGTGTCTAGGGGCTCTTTTCTCATATTAAGAATGTTTAAAGGTAATTCAATCAGAAGAATTATGTTACTTGTTTTTCTTAGTTATCTTCTTATTTTCTTAATTATTGACACATAAATGGTTTTGTAGGGAGAATTGATTTGATTTTCATTTCCAATTTTTTTTTTCTAAGTTTTTTTCCCTCTCAATTAGCATCCAAAATTCTAGGTGAGGGTATGGTTGACCTAGACAAAAGAAGCATAGACAGATGAGTTGAAGATTCAAATTAGTTTGCATCAATATTCCAAAATCAGCGTGATTAGGGAAATTAAATTAATTGGCTCGCATTTTTCTGCTGAAGCAAAACCCTTATTGCTTTTGAGCTTGTTTAATATGTTTTCCGATCATTTCATTTGAGGTTGTTCTAAATCATATGAGAGAGAGAGAGAGATCGTATCTTGTATTTGCAACATGTCTAACCTAATAAGCCTATGCAGGCTTATATAAAGATTACAAGTCTTACTCAATAACACAAGGGCCCTATCAACTTTTTGTAATTACATAATGACCCAACACTTATATATATATATATATATATATAACATTCTAACACTCCCCCTTAAGCTGGAGAATATAAATCAAATAATCCCAGCTTGGAACAGATAGTTCTTAACCGGTTATGACCCAATGCTTTGGTAAACATATCAGCTAATTGATCTTCAGACTTCACAAATAGAGTAGAGATGCTCCCACTTAATAGTTTTTCTCGAATGAAGTGACAATCAACTTCAATATGTTTGGTTCTCTCATGAAACATAGGATTTGATGCAATGTGAACTGCTGCTTGATTATCACAGAACAATGGAGTAAGAGCTTCAACTGTCAACTTAAGTTCTTTTAGAAAATGTTGTATCCATGTCAACTCACTAGTGGTATGGGCCATTGCCCTATACTCAGCTTCAGCACTAGATAGAGCTACCACCGTTTGCTTTTTACTTCGCCATGTAACGAGATTTCCTCCTACAAATGTGCAGTATCCTGTAGTAGATCTCCTATCTGAAGGAGAACCAGCCCAGTCAGCATCTGTAAAACCTTCCACCCTGAGATGACCATTTGATTTATATAGTAACCCTAAACCTGGCGCTTGCTTGAGATATCGGATAATCCGAAGAACAGCAATCCAATGTGGCATTCTAGGGACTCCCATGAATTGACTTACAACACTAACTGCATATGAAATATCAGTTCGAGTGATAGTGAGACAAATTAATTTCCCAACAAGGCGACGAAATCTGCCCGAGTCATTAAATAGATCACCCTCATCAGACACAAGTTTTGTATTCGAATCTATAGGAGCATCAACCGGACGACCACCCAACATACCTGTTTCTTCTAATAAGTCCAACACATATTTTTGTTGGGATAAACTTATACCCTTTTTGGATCTAGCAACTTCAATACCTAAGAAATACCTAAGTTTACCCAAGTCTTTAGTGTGGAATCGATATTGCAGAAACAACTTCAACTTAGTAATGCCTTCAGAATCATCACCTGTGATCACAATATCATCTACATACACCACAAGAAATATGAAGCCAGCTTTAGTGCGCTGGTGAAACACCGAATGGTCGGTCTGACATCTGTTAAGACCAAATTTTAATGCCACCTCAGAGAATTTCCCAAACCAAGCCCATGGAGATTGTTTCAATCCATACAGAGCCTTTTTAAGGCGACAAACAGTGTGAAGATACTCCCCCTGAGCAACAAACCCAGGTGGTTGCTCCATATAAACCTCTTCTGCTAAGTCACCATGCAAAAAAGCATTTTTAATGTCTAACTGAAACAGAGGCCAATGTCGATTAGCAGCAAGAGAAATCAAAACACGAATAGAAGAAATCTTAGCAACGGGGTCAAACGTCTCATCATAGTCAATACCATAAGTCTGGGCATAACCTTTGGCAACAAGACGTGCTTTTAAACGCTCAACGGACCCATCTGGAAGATACTTCACAGTGTATAGCCAGTGACAACCAACAGGTTTGGCACCTGGAGGTAATGGAACAAGATTCCACGTGCCATTCTTATGCAAAGCATCCATTTCATCTTGCATGGCTTTCCTCCAGCCCGAATCAGACAGAGCATCCTGCACAGTCTTAGGAACAAATGTAGTAGACAACTTAGAGGAAAAACATGAGAAAGATGGCGATAAGGAATTATAAGAGACATACTGAGTAATGGGATGTCTAGTAACACACGAGCAAGGAGCTTTACGAAGTGCAATAGGTAAGGATTCAGACACAGTGGAAGGTGTAGGATCCAAAGACTCTGAAGACGATGGAGGAGGCACGACAGCAGATGGCTTTGGTCTTCGAGTGTACACCTGTAACGGGGCAGGTGAAGGAACCGGAGATCGAGGTTGAAGAGAAAGTGAGGGAAGAGGAACTGCAGAAAGAGACGACTCAAGAGTGATATCAAGAAGTGAATCAGTATCTGAAAAATATGGGATGGATTCACAAAATGTGACATCCGCGCTAATAAAATACCGTTGAGAAACATGACTATAGCAGCGATAACCTTTATGAGAACGAGAGTAGCCAAGAAATACACACTTTGTGGCACGTGGATCTAGTTTGTCAAAACCAAGACCAAGATTGTGGACATAACATACACATCCAAAAACCCTAGGAGGAAGAGAAAACAAGGGAGAATCAGGAAATAAAATAGAATGTGGAGATTTGCCATCTAATACAGATGACGGCATACGGTTAATAAGATGACAGGCAGTAAGAACAGCATCACCCCAAAACCGTTTAGGCATACGCATATGAAACAAAAGAGCACGAGTTACTTCTAAGAGATGTAGATTTTTACGTTCTGCAACTCCATTTTGTTGAGGAGTATAAACATATGAATTTTGATGAATAATTCATTTATCACTAAGATATGTATCAAATGGAGTTGAAGAATATTCCTTAGCATTATCAGAACGTAGAATACGAATTGGGCATCCAAACTGAGTTTTGATTTCTTTGCGAAATTTTTGAAAAATTTAAAACAACTCAGAACGATCTTTCATTAGAAACAACCAAGTCAGGCGAGAATAATCATCCACAAATGTCACAAAATAATGAAATTTATTGATTGAAGAATGTTTTATTGGACCCCATACATCTGAATGAACCAAATGAAAGGGACTAGAGACACAATTATTAACCCTAGACTTGAAAGACACGCGATGGTGCTTACTAAGTTGACAAACTTCACATGACAAGAATTTCAAATGACTAAGACTAGGAACTTGACGCTTCAAAACTTGAAGTGACGGGTGACCAAGTCGACAGTGCCACTGGAATGGAGACAGAGAAGACTGAAGAGCCATAGGATAAGGTTCGAATCAAAATAATATAAGCCACTAGCTTCATGTCCCGTACCAATCTTCTTCTTCGTCTTGAGATCCTGAAACACACAAGAAGTAGGATCAAATGTAACAGAGCACTGGAGAGATTTAGTAAGCTTACTGATAGACATTAAATTAAAGGGAAATTACGGAACATGTAAAACAGACGAGAGAGACAATGAATCACTAAGTTGAGTCGTCCCCAAACCTGAAATCTGAGTGGATGAACCATTAGCAATAGTAACACCTTGAGAAGGAGGTACAGAATGAAAATCAGATAGAAGAGAAGAACATCCGGTCATATGATCAGATGCTCCAGTGTTTATGATCCAAGGATTGCGAGTAGAAGACAATAGACATGTGTGTGCAGTACCTGACTGGGCAAAGGAAGCCGTGGAAGATGAATTAGATGCTTGCTTATAAGACAAAAACTCAGTATACTCATCCCGTGGAACAGGGACCGTATCTGATTTAGTTACGTTGTGAGATCTAGAAGCAACATCATTCGGAGAAGAGGAAACTTGATTGGTATAACTAGATGGTTTCCCATGAGGGTCCCAACAAAAGTTCACAATATGATTAGAAAGACCATAATGAGTACATTTTCTTAATTCCCTACCACGACCACGTCCTCCTCGTGAATCACGACCACCACGTGTGGAGCGTCCCCCACGACCTCCACGGTAAGCATTATGTTCACCCTTTGAAACTACCAATGCTGAACGCTCACTACTCTGTCCAGAATTTAAATTTGATGTATCACTTGCAAGTGTAGCACGCTGAAGTCGAGAAAACACCTCAGCAAGAGATGGAAGTGCTGGACTGCCCATAATCTGTGCACGAAAGGGCTTATATGCTGATGATAAACTAGTAAGAAAATGAACAACATTAAAGTCCGCACGCTGTTGTTGCATACTGCGAACATCAGCAGTAATGGGCTGATACATATTCAGCTCTTCACAGACTCCCATAACTTTGGAATAATACTCTTCTATGCTTTGAGTACCTTATTCAAGATTGAAGTACTACTTACAGAGTTCATAGACACGAATGATATTACCTGTCCTAGAATACAATTGCTGCAATCTGTCCCATATCTCCTTAGCAGTATCCAAATAAAGTAACGTTGAACTGATTTGGGGTTCAATGCTGTTTATCATCATAGAGATGATCTGCGCATCTTCCTTTTCCCATGCATCAAAAGAAACATCAGTTGCCTTGAGTTTCTTTTTAGTCAGATGAGTACCAAGACCTCTGTCTTTGAGAAAAATGGCAACAGATTTA